TATCCAAAATCGTGAGTCGATCGTACAGAAATGGTCATGTTTTGGTGATAATTTTGAACAAAACGAACTCCGCAAGACCAATTGCTATATAAAACTTACGTTTAAGGTTCGATCTCTTGATTCGAAAAACATAATTAAATTAAACAAAATGTTTTTGTGCTGATGAAGAGTGCTCCCATTTTTATCTTGATCTTTTAACTTCTGATCAGCGCAAGCTACCTACATAAATCAGAATTAAACATTATGCCTCAGTAACGAGCATAGCTAATTAAATATAATTTTCAAAATATCTACTTGTAATGGTTAGGACGCATTATTTCGTTGGCTGGGGCCCGGCATGGCCAGGTGGTTAGGGCGCTCGACTCGCAATCTGCAGGTCGCGGGTTCGAATCCCCGTCACACCAAACATGCTCGCCCTTTCAGCCGTGGGGGCGTTATAATGTGACGGTCAATCCCACTATTCGTTGGTAAAAGAGTAGCCCAAGAGTTGGCGGTGGGTGGTGATGACTAGCTGCCTTTCCTCTAGTCTTACACTGCTAAATTAGGGACGGCTAGAGCAGATAGCCCTCGTGTAGCTTTGCGCGAAATTCAAAACAAACAAACAAAACAAACAATCGTTGGCTGGATATTCTCGCTGATAAATATATTTGTTCAGGACATCTAGGACAATTTGCACACTTAGTAAAAACAAGAAATGTTATTCAACTGGTTCTTATGATTGTCGTTTGTTGAGGTTTGGTCAGTCACATCTAAATATGTCAATCACTGAAGGATATAATAAATGAAAATGGTAATAAAGAGAAGAATAAAGTGACTTATTCTTGCTATTAATTCTGCTTCGCAGTTTTCTCGTTGTCTTTTGGTTAAATTCTAACACAATAATAATCGTTTAACTTCAACAGGGAACATCATGACTGCATCCACAGAGATTGCATTTCATGAAAACATTTCTTTTATAGGTAAATTATTTTGCAAAAGGCATCTTTACACAAAGAGGGGAAGAACTCATTTTAAATTGAAGACTTTTCTGTAAAAGGTGAACCAATGGGCACAGGAGATATAGTGTTTAAAAACTCTAATGCCAAATTTATTAAACAACTGTTGAAAATCAATTTTGGTGGTATTTATAGTTTTCCAGTTAATGTGACAGCAAAAAGAGACATTAGTGTTTATGTGATCGATTCCTGATTTTAGGGTTAAAGCAGCAAAAACCCAAATAGATGTAAATACTTTAGTGAACAAAACATGAGCAAATTGAGAAGAAACGAGATTTAATTGAAAAACTATTGAGTACTTAACCTAAATGTTTAGCCAAATGTGCTTCACATGCCAAGCGACAGTGGCATTTCTAGTTGTGACAACAAACTGAAACTTCAATAAAATTTAACCTGTAATAAAACCATATGATAAAAAGGTATGGAATTATAAATGCTAATAGATACACTACAGATAGAAGAAATTTCCGATTGATATTGTAGACACAAATTTCTTTTTTAAAACCAAAGGCACCCATTTCTTCGAGACAAATTACGGTAAATAAGACGTTTTGTTGAACGCTTTTAACGCGTTACGATCAAATGAAGACTAACACTACCAGTCGTATATTATTCTACAAAGCGAAAAAAGGCTTCACAAGAAAGATGGAATATCACGTACCAGCACGAATATGGCCTTGTGTATATTCTTTGACCAGTGGAGGAGGACCTAAAGTGTGAGATACGAAAACAAGTGGACTTTTTCAGGCAAGTTCTTCAATAGGTAGTGAAAATAATTCGTATTTTTGTCTAGACATGTTTCTGCTTTCATAGGACTTTGGAAAAAATTCGTTGAGTTGATATTTCAACTACATTTCATCTTATGATGAATCGTTGGCATGCCAAATGGAATACCAAAGTAACTAAATCTTACCGTTCAAAATGAACTGATACAAGTTCTTTCAAGATGTTTCGTGGGTGACATTCAGGCTGTAGTATTATTTTTTCATCATCAAGGACACGATACAATATATTTTGAAAGCTGATTAATTAAATGACAGGCTTAAGGAAGTGAAAGTTGTTGATTACATGTCTTAGATACTGCAATTTCGCACCTTACTGAGAGAAAAAAAAAAAAAAAACAACCAGAAAAGTTGCTTTTAACAAAATGCTGTTGCTTAGGTCTTGGGATATATTAGCACTGCTACAATTAATGGGACTTTCTCGAGGATACAGACTGAAAAGGGTTAATGACAAGAAACCAAATGCACAGTAAGTACATTGTGCTGAACAGAATACGAACCTTGCAGTTAAAGGCATTACATGAAATGAGTTATCTTTCATACGATTTTGTTTAAAGCAAACCATTAACCAATGGGATACGATATCGTTATTTACAAGCGAATCAGCGGTCAGTTTTAAAAAGTCAAATTTCACAATATGTACGAGTCGACTCATTTTCTTAACGAGTGAGAAATAACATCATGTGAACATTATGAAAGCCTTGATTAAAATCACCTTTGACAGAAGAAGAAGAATGACGTGACGAAGTAATTCATTAAAATAATAAAAAAACTGATGAAATCCTTTGTTGTGATTCTCAAAAAGTTTCCATATGCTGACGTTCCCACAAATAAAATGGGGGCATCGAAACTTTGAAGTGAAATGTGTATGATGTACTCTAGTAAAACGACACTTGAGATTGTGCAACTTGAATCACGAATTTGAGGACTGAATTCAGAAGCAACCAAGTCTCTATTCTTCAGCTAGTCTAGCTAAACAGTGCTAGCGACGATGAAGAAAAAGCCCCAGACATTTTTTTTTTATATATGTTTGTAGTCCCAAGGCCACTTACGACCGGGCACATTTATCTGGTGGCGCCTATCTCTTGTCCATGTAGCCGTCCGTAATTTAGCAGTGAGAGAATAGAGGGAAGGCAGCTAGTTAATACCACCCACCGCTAATTCTATGATTGCTCTTTTACCAACAAATAATGGGATTGATCATCACTTATAACGCCCCCACAGCTGAAAGGGCAATCATGTTCGGCGACGGGGAATCGAACCCACGACCCGAAGATTGTGGGTCGATTGCCCTAACCACTAGGCTATGCCAGGCCCATATTGATGTACCAATACTCAAATGAATAATCTTCTTCGGTGACGGACATTGTTCATTCAGTAACAGTCAAGCACGGTGCCATATCCTCAAGTTTAGCCGACTGTACATTATTTTATTATGTCTAACGTTGCCAGTGCCGACTGTAAAAAGAGATGTTTTTCCCAAGCTGAAACAAGTTCAAGAACTTTATGAGAAATTCAAGGAGCCTAGGAGGACTAAAATGGTTTGTGGTGAAGCTGCATGCGTTAAGAATATAAACAAGGATACAATGATCAAGGCCTTAATTCGCGCCGCTGAAAACTTAAACGTAACTTGAACTAGAAATAATTTAATGAAAACTTATTGTATTTTAATTTTGTTGTATTTGTGCGGAGGGAGGATCAAACTTTGCAGCTACGCCACTGCAAATAAAGACGTATATAGTGTTCTGTCTATAGGAGGAATTAACACCCACAACCACAAGACAGATGTAAAAACCACGTTTGATACGTCAGCAACATTGATTTCTATCAAATCACCAAGTCTAAGAATATTTCTATTATGAGGTAAGTTTATAAATTCGGAGCAATTCTATAAATATATAATGTAAATTTTTAATTATATCAAAATAAGTTTGTTTGTTATGAATATCGCGCAAAGCTACACGAGGGCTATCTGCGCTAGCTGTCCCTAATTTTGCAGTGTAAGACAGCAGGGAAGGCAGCTAGTCATCACCACCCACCGCCAGTCAAAATAAATAAAAGATGTAGATTAGCATTTATTTTAAAGGATGGGAGCGATTAATACAATATAAGAAGTTGTTTAAAGTACAAATATCACAAAAGTAAACAAAATTCCAATATAATTTTGAAGAGATTTTGTTGATGAAAAAGAACAAGCACGAATTTTATGGCATTTATTTATATAATTATTGTAAGATGCTCGGCTTCAGTGATAATAAATTTTCAATTCTTCAGCCCTTTTCTGTTGTTATTTTTGTAAACCAGTTTCGCAGTTATGTCTATTTCAATTATTACAACCAGTATTTTTGATACTCTTCAGTACAATGAGTAACTTACAAAAAGTTCCGTATTGACTCAGTGCTAATACATTACAATTTGTATAGAGTAAGAATATAGAATACATTACAATATATATATATATATTCAATATAAAACTGTTACTGTTGAAAATTCACTCCACCAGTGCCATTAATCACACAGTTACATTATAACATGATGATTTAGCTTCTTTTGAATTTCGCGCAAAGCTACACTGCGCTTGACGTCCCTAATTTAGCAGTGAAAGACTAGAGGAAAGGCAGACAGTCATCACCGCCCACCGCCATTTCTTGTGCTAAACTTTTACCAACGAATAGTGGGATTGACCGTGACTGTATAACGCCCACACGGCTGAATCGGCGAGCATGTTTGGTGGGACGGGGATTCGAACCCGCGACCCTCAGATTGTCAGTCGAGCGCCCTAAGCATCTGGCCATGCCAGGTCCACTAACATGATGACGACGTCCTGTAGCTTCAGTGTCGATTAATAATGTTGTCAATAACACATGACAACATTGGAATATGTGAAATAAACTCCCGAGTCTTCATCACACCATCTAATAATTTCACTATTAATTTATTCTGCAAAGTTTCGTTATAAAACTTGAACTTGAAGGCACATGAAAAACATTTCTGCACTTTAAGTTCAACTTTTATTTTTGTTTATAAAATAATGTGCATTTTAATTTGGAATCCAAGAATAGAAAACGTAGCTCTAGGAACAATGCTTTTAAATTATTTTTTCCTTTTATTGCTGTGAATACGTTAGTTTGAGATTTTTACATTTACGTACATGCTGTGACACTAATATTCAAGCTTAAACATTTCCTTTACAAATAACAAAACAAGGATGGAATTATCTTACATTTTAGCAATCCCTGCTTTCCGAACAGCTGAAGATACTGCTTTACACGCTGTGAGAATAGAGTTTAGTAAAACTGTCAAGTCGCCCGTTGCCCCTGGAAATCTTTTCTGTTCAGCCAAGACAAAACGAATCAATGTCATGGCATTTGTATCAATTGTAGATTCCGCTGAAGACATGTTGCTAAGACAACTATTCAATAATAGCAAGGTAATGAAAACTAAATTGAGTATGGCTCAGTACAAGACAAAAATACTCTAAACTATTTCTTACTATCTGCTCGCCTACTCGAACAGAAACCTCACACAAACAACGCTCCTAGTGATTCAACCACGCTATAAGGCCAACCACTTTCAACATTGCTTCGATGTGACGCTTTTACCTAACGTTAACTTTAAAAGCCCTCCAGCATAAATCTTCGTAAAGAGCTCTACATTCGTACCTCCTGGTGCATAAAAACGAAAGTTATACTTAATTTTGATTGTAGAAGCCGGCATTGTGAAAATCATTATATATATATTAATTGATCTATTAAATCTATTCATCTTCGAGAGTCTTCGTATCAGAAGAAGCGAAAATATTTCAGTTGTTTATTAGTGATATTTTTAGTGAGAGTTCGTCTCTAACCTTCTGTTCATTAATGCTTCGATAAAAAAGTTCACACCCTTAGCATCAACAGAACAAGGTTTTAAACGGATACTTGGTGTGTTATAGCAACGCAAAATACATTAAAACTGAAAAGCCACAATGCCGAAAACACTTGAGTCGAAAGAAATAAGACGAAAACAAAAGCTTAAAATTTAAACATTGCGAAAAAAGAAAATCGAAAATGAATAGCATTAAAATGAATAATGCAGAAAGAAACACATTCGAGTGGAATAACAGTGTTAGGAAGAACGTTGAAAGAAATAGAACCGAAAAAGATTAGCGTTGATTGGATAACACCGAAAGAAATTATGCTGCCAGTAGATTTAACCGCGAAGGTATAGCAGGAACAGTGTCCAAACAATGAACTCTAAAGCAATACTTCCGAAAAGAATAAACTCGAAAACACTGAAAAGAGTAACTAAGCCAGAAAACAACATCGAAAGCATTGTTGCTGAATGTATATTTTAATTCACTATTTGCTCAATAGGTGCCGTTTTAGATGAAGACCGTATTGCACTTGCAGTTTCCTACGTTTTTAAACCACTCATTCTTTTTAAGCATGTTAACCAAATGAACTTTATAGAAGATATATGCATTTCACTTGCCTTATCTAACATATTAAGTTATGTTAATCATGAGAAGAAAATGTCCAAAGATTCGACTCTATTCCTGTTTTTTTTTTCGTACTTTGAAATAGAATTAGCCAATTCCAACTACTGAGCACACAAACACACACATTGCTCACACACTTTACACGAAATGTGAGAAAGATAACGTTGTATAGCGAGATGTCTTTCTATTATAGAAGTTACAGATGCTAAAAATATCTGGGCGTCAAGACAATAAATTAGCTATTAAATTCATCCTGGTGTGTGTTCATCAGATGGGATTAATTAAGATTAATAAAAAATCTTTAGATAAGATGGTGTGGTACAAATTTATATACTGTCGCTTATAGACGAAATTACAAAGCAGCTAAATAAACTGAGTGAAAAATAAGAAATTAAAAGCAAAAAAGGGGTTCAAATATGTAATTTCCTGCCATATACTGTTAAATATTTAACAACATTATTACAAATATGCTGACCTGTGATAACTGCAACAGGAAAATTACTAATATTCGAGTAATCTCGGCTGAATATGTATGCGTCATGCAACAAATATAACACGGATGTTACATACGTTATATGAAAACGATTTTGGAGCCTCACCAAGTCATTATAGTCCATTTCGCCCAGTAAGAACATGCTTTATCTGATAACCGTGCATATTGACAATAGTACTGCAGCGTAGCTTCCGTTGCAAAAGGCTCGATCATAAGGCTGTCATGTCAAAAGTACAACCATCCTCCTTGCATACTTTATATAATACATCAAGTGTACGGATAGAATGGTTCCCAGCATCCATTTCAACAGTAAAATCATTTGGAAGTACAAATTGGCCGTTTGTTTTGCATAGCATGAATACCCGTTTCATATTCTAACTGCTTGAGGTATGGATATGTTGTGAAGGCAGTTTGTGTATCGTTACTTGTGTTGCTTTTCAACTTGACAATTCTTCCTTATCATGCTGCTTAGATCTAACAACGTTTTTTTTATGTCTCTTTACATGTTTTAATATAAGTATTACATCTATTCAAAGGGTCTAAGCTTTCCGCATTTCCAAGCTGTATTGCCATCTATTAACCAAGCGTGTAACCATGTTATTAAAAGTATGCGACTTTTTTCAGTGTCATCAGACAATATTTCGTTTGAAGTAATTCCCTTCGCGGCATATTCTTTCGATGTTGCTCTTTCAAATCAAATTAACTCGATGTTATTTATTTTGATGCAATTTTTTTTTTTAGTATTTGTTAACAGTCCGTTTGATGTCACCTCAATTTAGTTCGATATTAGTAATTTAGATGCTAGATTTTTCGCGAGTATATTGTTGTCATGACAGGCGGTTTTCATTTCTCGATCCTGAGCCTTTCGCAGTTAGTCCTAACCAATTTTTCAGTACTGGATTTTTCGATATTTGTCCAAACGTGTTCGAGGCTGTTTCTTTTCGATGTTTGAATAATTTTCAGCATTAGTTCTACTAGCCCTTTCTGTGTTATTACATTTGGCTTGATTACATCTCTCCGGATATTCAACATTCGTAATGTTGTAAATTAACACGATTCTTTTGGTGTTCTTTAACTCGGCTGTGTATTGATTTTTAAGTTTAAAATATACGATAATTTGAATTACTTATATAGCTTTCTCACATAACTTACTTGCTCGTTATTTATACTTGCTGAAGAAATATGTTTATCTAAGGACTCGAAAAGCATTAAATAATATTGTTACGTCTCTGGTTGTTTGTTAGTTTCCCATATACTTTCTTTCGGATGAAACTTTAGCGACACAAGTCCTTTCTTAAGTAAAACTAGTTTATTCTTCCTCAATACAACTTTGCAATACACAGAATTT